ATCCCCTCATCTCCGGAGCAGCAGAAAACAAGCTCTCTCCCTATTGAAGATAACACTCTGATATGACATGATCAGGGTGTTATAAAACAGAAGAAGAAGAAGAGGAGGAGGAAATATTGGCATTGATGATAATAGAATGATGGAATCATAGAGCTGCAAATGACCACCGGGGCTATCTAATCTAGCTTCCTGATATCCAGGAATTAAACTACTAAAGCACTTCCGAGAGAAGGCCGTCAAACCTCTGTTTAAAGATCTCCAAAGATCTCACGCTGACTCAGAGACTGCCGGAGTCTCCTTCTTTGGAGGTTTTTAAACAAAGACTGGATGGCCATCTGCCAGGAGTGCTTGGATTGTGTCTTCTTGCATGGCAGAATGGGGTTGGACTGGATGGCCCTTGAGGTCTCTTCCAGCTCTAGGATCCCCCTGAAAGATGTGGCGTCCAATACTCTCCAAGGAAACCTATTTCAAATAGCTCTTACAGCCAAGTTCTTCCTAACGTTTGGTTGGAATATCTTTTCTTATCATTGGAATCAGCTGCTTTGTGTTCCAGTCTCTGCAGAAGCAGCTCCTTCTTTGACATGACATCCCTACATGACATGATGAAGATAATGGTAACAACAACAACATAACCAACTTCTGCTCCACCAGATACAGAGGGCTTGGGTTGCAACTGCCTGAGCAATAATAGCCCTATCATATTGAATGGAAGGCGAGACCTCCCATCCATCCCTGTCATTGCTCTTTTCAATAGAAGGGGAATTCATTTTTCATTTTTTCTTTCCATTTCTTCAACTAGGTGGACTGATATCTGTTTATGGATTATTCTTATTTGAGTAGCCAATTCCTCCCCCCGCCCCCCAGATTTCTCTGCAATATATCCTTCTTACTCCAAAGTTCCTGTTGTAGGTTAGATCGGGAATTTCGGAGTGTGTGCAAGCATGTTTGGCCATGACCTTTGAAGGCCTTTTTTCCAGCCAAAGAAGGAACTGAAAGCAATGAGGAAGCAAGAAGGCTTCCCCTTTCTGGAACCCACAAGAGATGGGAAAGAAGCAACTTCTGTCCTAAGTATGGACAGTACATGCATGTGACTGCATTTCCCAGCCATAAAATATCCCACGCAAATGGGTGCTGGTGGCCCCCATGTCATGGGATGGAGAGAGAAGATGGGTGGTCAGTCCTTTCCAGATTTTTGTCTGAATTTTCAATGGAGCTCTCCGACAAATGGCTGTGGGATTATGGAGGCTGTGTTCCAACACATCTGGAAGATTCTGAGTTGGGGAAAGTACATGATCATATAAGTAGAAATCAAAGATATAGCTGTGTTAGTCTGTAGGATCAGTATGTAGAGAGATCTTGTAGCACCTTTGAGAAGTGAAAGAAAGAAGTTGGCAGCTGGAGCTTTCATAGATCCTACTGACCAAATGCATTGGAGGAAGTAGACTTAAGTCTTCGAAAGTTCATGCTGCCAACTTCTTTCTTTAGTTAGTCTCAAAGGTGCTACAAGATCTCACTACATCATGATCATATTGGTTAGACTGCAATGAAGAATATTTATTTATTTGAGTATTTATAGCACACCAACATTTCCCAGGTGAAAACTGGGACATGCATGGCCAAGCAACATTGTGTGTGGACAAGAGTGTTCACAAGTTGGAGAGCGTCCAGAAAAGGGCCACCAAAATGGTGAAAGATCTGGAAACCATGCCTTAGGAGGAAAGAGGGAGTTGGGTATGTTTAGCCTGGAGGAGAGATGGTTAAGAGGAGATATGATAGCCCTGTTTAAATATTTGAAGGGGGGTCCTACTGAGGATGGAGCAAGCTTGTTTTCTGCTGCTCCAGACAATAGGACATGGAGCAATGAGTGCAAACTGCAGGAAAAGAGATTCCACCAAAACATTAGGAGTAATTTCCTGACAGAAAGAGCTGTTCAACAGCAGAACACACTGCCTTCTTTAGAGGTCTTTAAACAGAGGCTGGATGGCCATCTGTTGGGGATGCTTTGATTTTGAGTTCCTGCATGGCAGAATGGGGTTGGGCTGGATGGCCCTTGGGGTCTCTTCCAACTCTATGATCCTATGATTCTAAGATGGCAAAAGTTATTAAAGAGGAAGAATAGACAAGATAGGAGAGGCTGCAGGATGATAAGGAGAGGCAAAGCCGGCTGTCTTTTCAGCTTGGCAGGGAGACAACAGGAGACTTCTTCTTCCCTGAACTTTGCTCTCCCATCCCCACAGCTGCAATACACATGTGCCTGCCCAGCTGATGGGTGGATTCTGGGTGCTGCCTTCTTGCGTCAAAAGAGAGTGCAATAAACAAGCTGGGGCTGCTCGGTCTTTGTGGGGGACTTTGCTCAGACCAAGGGAGAAGGCTGGTTTCCAGGTGGGGTCACATCCCCATCACTCCCCATCACGCGATAGTCCAGGGTGCCGTGGAACTCCTTGTCACAAGACACTGGGCAAAGGGCAAAGATAAAAATAGAGAACTTGACCTAGGGTTCCCTGGTGCTTTGGAAGAAACTTTTCTCCTGAACAGAACTTTGGTGTGGGTCTGGTTCAGTATTCAAAGAATAATAGGGGGAGAAGCAGTGCTTTTTTAATGGACTAATTTATTTTAGCATGAGCTTTCACAGAATGCAGTTTTCTTCTTCATATAAACTGAGAGAGTGCAATATTAATGCTACAATGTACTTAAGCACAGCTATGAAGATCCTGGGTTTGATTCTCTGCTCAGCCATGAAGCCCGCTGGATCACCCTGCCAAGTCACACCCTCTCGGCCTCAGAGGATAACAATGGCAAACCCCCTCTGAAGAAACTTGCCAAGAAAACCTGATGATAATAAGTCCAAAATGACTTGAAGGCACACAACAAGAACAACAATGACAACAACAAATGGACATGAGAGGGGTGGAACCAGAGTTAAATACCTTTCAGCTGTCCCAGTTTTGCAGGGACAGTCCTGATTAATCCTCTACTGTCCCACTTTTCCAACTGCGTTTCTCTCTCCTCCTCCCACTTTCGTCTCCAGCTTCCTTCAATTGTTACAAACTGGGTTAAAAATGCTAAAGCAGTTTGCACTCATCAAACTCACCAGGAGCGAGGAAGTCAGCTTGGGCAAAAGCAAACTGCTACAGCTTCTCCTAACTTGTGTGTTCTTCCTTATTAATACCTTTGGCCATCTTGACCACTTTCTGATGTCACTTGGCCTCAGGTGTTTTGGTTCTCATCTGTAAAATGTTGGAGGGTATGTGGTGCCTGGTGATTTTCCTTTTTCCAGAACTTGGAAAAGTTCCTTTTTTTGGGGGGGACCACTAAAAGACTACCAGTAGTCCTTTTTTGCATTACTAAAGGAGTACTAATTAATTTTTTGCATTACGAAAGGACTCCATTTTTCTTTGCCCTTTGTCAACTGTTCTGTCTTGGAGGTGCTACTTTGTCTTCAGGTTCAAGAACTGTTTACCGAGAGCGTCAAGCACCTGGGCAGGGCAGTCAAACCAGCGGGTTCTTCCAGTCCGGGGAGGATTAGGGTGATAACGTGGGTGTTCCCACCAAGGGAGACACTGGCAGGCGTGCCCTGAACCGCTGGAATTTGCTCACACCACGCCTTGCTCCGCGTCAACCGTGACGCAGGTCCCAAGCTCCACAGTACAAGGAGTGCTTTGCTCTCAAGAGTGCTCTGCAAACCAACCCAGGCCTTCCCAGCAAGGTCCATGAGTGTGCAAGAGGAGTGTGCAAATCACCACTTGCACAGGGAACCCTGCCATAGGTTTTACTCTACCTAATGGAATCCTGGCAGTGGACTATCATTCCCAGTATCCTCTCACCAACAGGCTGCTGGCTGGGGAGTGATGGGGGTTATAGTCCAAAAAGATAATAGGTGTGCTTCTCTAGAACATGAAATGAAGAATCAGGGTGCTCAATGCATGCTCACCCCAAGCATTTGTTTTCATGACAAGAAGTGAGATCTTTTTGGAGGTTTATGCACCCCACTCCACCACCGGCCCTTTAGAGAAAGTAAAGGGCAAAACCCTTTCCCGCTGTTGCTCTTGTTAGCGTCAGGAGTCAGAAACCGACCGCAAGAGCTTTATTTGGCTTCTGCTTCCTGCTAATCTCGACTGAGGCCCTTCGAGCCAATTTCGGTTTGTAACTAAAAGAGATGGCGCAAGATGGGCCTTATGAGATCACCCCCAAGGCTCAGAATTCAGGACCGTTTAATATTCTGATCTGCTCAGGCTGTTCTCAAGGCCGGCATCTCGAGTTGTACCAGGAGCAGGGGATCAGTGCCTGGTCAAGATCCTATGTCCAGTGCCATCGTGTGTCCATCATAGCACATGGAGTTACACATTGACTGTGGAGTGTAATCCTTATGTTGGGTGGCAAAGTTGTGCAATGGAAAGGGCACACACGGCTGAGCATAAGGGTGTGGATGCACCCCTGCATTGCGGGCACATGGACGCCCATTGCAACCAACCCCCCCATCCTTCTCCATGTGCAAATCCACCTCATGCCCACATCCACTTCCCCAGCTTTCAATTGAGTTCAAACGTTCCATGTCGGACCAAATTCTCTACCGCTTCTGCTGAGAATAAACCCGGGATAAAACTCTGCATGCCTTGAATGTGCTTTTTAATGCATTCACATAATTGACTCTGTCTTTATTCAAGTGCGGACATGTGTGAGCAACTGAACTTACAAAGATGCCCAGAGATGCGGCTCCATAGTGAGAATAACAAACCCGGAATGCGTGAGATTATTCGCATTGTTGCGCTAAAAAAACAACCGCGTCTGAATGACCCCTTGCTTGGAGGCTCTCCTAGGCTGGAAATATGAGAAATGCAACTTTTCTTTGAGTGCCAGTGTTGTGTGGTGGTTTGAATGCTGGACTAGAATTGCAGGGGACCAAATCCCCAACTCAGTTATGGAAATCCTCTGGGTGACTTGGGTGAGTCACATACTCTCAGCCTCAGGCAATGGCAACCTCCTCTGAATAAAGCTTCAGAGCCAGGATGGGATAGTGGTTTGAGTGTTAGACTAGGATTCTGAGAGATCAGGGTTCAAATCCTTGCTCGGCCATGGAAACCCACTGGGGGACTGTGGGCAAGTCACTCTCTCTCAGCCTCAGAGGTGGTTAGAGTGTTGGGCTAAGACTCCTGGAGTCCAGGGTTCAAATTCTGGCTGAGCCATGGAAACCCATTGAGTGACCATGGGCAAGTCACACTGTCTCAGCCTCAGAGGAAGGCAAAGGCAAAACCTCCTCTGAAGAAAGCTGGCCAAGAAAACCCTAGGAGAGGATTGCCATCAGCCAAAACTGACTTGAAGGCATGCAGTAAAACCACAGCTTCTTCCAATGGAAAACCATCTGCTCGAATCTTGTAGTAACTGGATTGGAGGGAAAAGTGAAAAGATCACAAACGCAGCCTGATCTTCAGAGCTTCATATTTATTATTCTGAATAATTATTTGCTGCACCATTATTTTCATCAGCAATTTTCAATCAGAAAAGGAATAGGCAACTTTCTGTTTCGAACAGAGGGGAGGGACACACACCCAACCTTTCTTTAAACAATCATTATTATTATTTTGCACAATGTCACTTTTTCCATATTTCACACACAATATATATATATATATTTATATATATAATTATATTATATATTATTTTGGAATATTACAAAAAGATAAATACAATATAAAATCTGTTTGAATAAATAAGAGTCTATAAATAGTTTATATTTTGGTTTCGCGCGTCGCTTCGGTACAAGGTAAACATGGAGGGTTTCCTTTTTTGTTTTCCAGAAAAGCAACACGCACACATATTAACTCTGCAATAATTATATGCAGGTGGTTAGCATTTTGACAGGATTTATAGAGGAACAAAAAAGGCACTCTTGACTCCCTCTCGGCTCCCTTTTGTGGTTGCTATCGATGACTGCTGCTCTTTTGTTGATGAGACTCAGCAGTGCAAAATATGTGCAAACTTGGAGAGCACACAATATAGAACAGGCTTGGAAATTCTGCTTTCTTTTGGATTGCAAATGCCTAGAATCCTATAATTTGTAGTTAGTTAAAAAAAAGAAGAAGCAACATTTGCAAGTTTGCCATCAACATTTGCAATTGATTGGGTTGGCTGAGCGACTAAAAAGGTCCATTGATTCATGGTTAAGTCTCCTAAAATCAACACCCGGCCTTCCTCTTTTGACAATCCTTTCCCTGGCGAATTCCAAATGCCTCCACCTCTTTATCGCCACATTATTGGCATTGCAAGTCTGTTTCATTAAAAACAACCACACCAGACTGCAATGATTTCAAGAATTCCCAAATTATTTGGCAGCTCTTTCCCCAATTACTTCAGCTCCATCTGGCTTTGCATTGACTCTTTTAACATTACCAGCAAAGCTTCTTACAGAGTGATCCTCACAGGATGGATGGCGGATGGTACTATGTACGAATGTTCAAAAATATTCAAATAATAGATGAGAAATGGGTTTGCCAAGCATCAGGAAACCCTGAAAAGGAGAATCCTGGACCAATGTGAATTGTCACCGTTTGGGATTTATTCTGCGCAGAAACACATAGGATTCTTTTTTTGCACACAAAATTGTATTTTCTGCACAGAAAGCAAGATTCCTACACAGAAAATCAGATTCTTGCATAGAAAATCAGATTACTATGCGTGCGTGCATACACACCAATCACATTTCTACACAGAAAAACCCTCTCCATGTGTATTTTTCATGCAGAATAAGTCCTGAACTGTGACTAGTTCACAAAAGCTTCACAGTTTTCAAAGACTTTATCTTTTTGCACCGGGGAGCAAAGTGGTAAAAGTATTCATTCTTGCTAATGAGTAGGATATTTGCAAAGATTGACATCCTTAAAGCACATCCTAAGAAGAGCAAGGTGGAGGAATGTGAATTCCCAAAGAAGGGGATTTTTCTGATGACACAAACCCCAAATCAGACCCAAATATTCCATGGAATGATCATAAGCTCCCTCAGTTTGGAAGCCTCATCCAGGCCAGCTTTGGACAAAAAGAAATATTCTTTCTGGTTGATCCAGGTTGTAATTGGGGCAATGCTCTGCATTCAACAATGTGCTCCGGATTCAAGGCTTGACTCCAAAGGCGTCTCAATCTCTTGAGTTCTTTCTAGGACTGGACTTAAAAATTTACTTCAATTTGCACTTGGTGAATCTAGCTGGAAAATATGAGATATTCGGAGGAGTGGTTGCAACTGAGACCAATGGATTCCTCCAGAGGAGATCTCAGGTCCTGGCAAGGTGTCAGGGAGATGATCACTACCTCGCAAAGTTGTTTTTAACATTTCAAGACCTTAAAACTAGAGAGAGCGAGAGAAACCCAAGCAGGGAAAGAGATTACAAACTCAGTCATCCCCTCCCTGACCCAAAGTTCTCAATTTTTTGTTTAAAAAATGAGGGAAGAGGGGGTATTCACAGTATGTTATTTAAGCAACAAGGTATTTTCAAATTCCAAAAAGCTTTTTTTTTTAAAAAAAAATTATGGAACCAAGAAAGAAAGACAAAGAACAGCCTTCCAAACAATAACTCTTGGAGAGCAGCAAAAAAGAACTTGGCCCACTCTCCAAAGGCAAAGACCCGACCAAATTCCCTAGCTAACCAAGTTGCTAACCACGGTAATACAACACAACCCTTAAGGCACTAAATCTCAGGAGGAGAGGAATATGGACAAATCAATATGAATTTGGATTCTCTGAAAGGCACTCGGATGCTCTAAGGCAGGAGCGAGAAGCCCTCTGGAGCTCTCTTAGGTCTGCCAAGGACCTGATAGTGCATTGCCGGGGATAGACATTACCCTGGCTTAAATACCTGGAGCAGTCACTGCTCCAAAGATGCCACCTGGGCATCGATTTGGGAGGATGGAGCAGCAGTGCCCACCCTCTCCCTATATAGACAGGTGTGCAGTGTTAAACCTGCCTCCCCTTACACTCCAACAACAACAACA